TTTAAAATACCTTGAAACTGGCACTTGGGTGGAAATGCCAGGAATTCCAGAGGCTGAGCCGCTTCATCAGGGAGATAATAGCAGCAGGAGATGTTGAATCAGTAAATAAGTGGCTGCTCCTCTCCGGGGGAAGAATGTCTGCTTGGATGGGTCCTTGGCCACAAGGACCACAGGAGATGCCTGGTCTCACCCCAGAGAGCCACAGCTCAGGGGTTTGCTTGGGGGTCTCTAGGACCCAGGGCTTGATCCCACAGGAGGATAAATGCTCGTAGATCCCCTTATTTTTACACAGCTCAAATGAGCAAAGGTGAATCCCAGAGGGAGACATACTCCCAGACTATGGAAAGATGGGGCATTTCACTATGGAAAAGGGGATTTCTGCTGTCCTAAGTTTATTCCAAGCACAACATGACATTGACTGTGGATCAGCATAGCTGGGAAAGAGGGTGAAATCAGTTTTTTTGGAGGAGGCAGAACCCAGAAAGTCCTAGGGCACGGGAAAAGCACTAAATCCAGGGCTCCCCCTCCATTGCATAAAGCACATCTCATTTTTCCTTAAAAAAAACCCCAACCAAAAAATGCCACCAACCCACAGGATTTTAAGTCAAAAAAATCTCTCATTAGATAGCAAGGCCACTGCTGGGGATGCTGCCCAGGAAGGAGCTGCTGGAATGGGATGGGTGCTCTGGAAAGCCAGGCAGCAATTCCCCAGCCCTAGTTTCCTCGTAAACCAGACTTGACTAATGTCTGCCTCCCTTCCTGGCCCCAGAGGAGGTATTCAGGCTGTGCCAAGTGGTCCTTCTGTGTCAGGAAACCAGAGATTGTCCCTGCATACATGCCGAGGGATGGTAAGGGCACTGAACACCTGGAGAAGATGCTGAGGAAGAAGGAATTGATTCTGGGAAGGTTTAACATGTCAGCAGCCACAGCTTGTGGCCTGGGAGGTGAATGAGGAAATATTTCTTCTCCAAGAGAAGATTTAGGTCAGCTAAAGCCTTAAGTCCAGCTTGGCACACTGTACCAAATAGAGCAAAGTGACATTTATCCCAGGCACTCTGGCTGGGGGTCTCCAGGGTGCTGGATGACATGGCTTGTACAATACACCACTTCCTTCTCCTCTGCTGCCAAGACAACTCCCCTGGAGCAGGACAAGAGGTTTGGGAACTTCTCTCCTGCCCTCAAAGCCTGTTGCAAGCAAGTCCCAGCTCCTCCTAGGTGTCACTTCTCTATGCATCAAGCCCCTGAATTTGCTCCAACAACTAACAGCAGCCTGAGATCATAGAATCATAGGATTTTAGAGGTTGGAATGGAGCTTAAAGATCATTCAGTCCCAACCCCCTGCACTGGGCAGGAACACCTCCCACCACAACAGGCTGCTCAAGGCTTTGAACATTGTCAGGGGTGGGGCAGCCACAGCCTCCCTGGGCAACCTATGCCAGTGTCCCAGCACTCTTACAGTGAAAAACTTTTCCCTAATGTCTAGCCTAAATTTTCCCTCCTTCAATTTCAGTGTTACCCCTTGTCCTGTCACTGCAGTTCCTGACAAAGAATCCCTCTCTGGCTTCCCTGTAGGCCCTTCAGATACTGAAAGGTTTCTATGAGGTCTCCACACAACCTTCTCCTCACTAGACAAAAAGGTTCAGCTGGTCCCATTCCCACCACTGCCCGAAGAGGGAACCTCTCCCAGCTAGGGGGGAGTGACAACTCCTGGGTTTGGGGCATGGCCATCTTGCTGCCATTATGGGTACTCCTGGAAGTAGAAGAGCCCAAATTCCAAGCAGTGGGAGGAAAAAAAACCCAAAAACCCAAGTGTGACTCAGGCATGTCAAAAAGTCCCTTTTGAGAGGGGGGGGAAAACACAGGAAGAAATTCCAATCCCAACCCCAAGGACTGTTTATCCATTTCAGCCAAGGCTTGTTAAATACAACTATGTGTAAACAGTCCTTGGGGCTGGGATTGGAATTCCTGCCTCCATCTGTCCCAAGAAAAGCCTAACCCCCAGCTCCTCAAACTGTGCTCCCTTCCTCATCTAGCAGAACTGGATGGTCTTCCCCAAACCAGAGTCAGGCAGGAGGGGAGTATGGTCCAAGATTTATTGAATCCTTCACTTACTGAGTTTCCAGCATGAAGTAAATGCACATAGCTCCATGGAACACTAAAAGTGCTTGGAGACTAAACACAACTCCACAGTCCTATGCAAAGAGAGCATCTTAGTAGGGATTTTCCATATCAGTTCCCAAGTAGGTGCTCTGGGAAAGGCTGTACAAAGCTCTGCTGAGGGCAGGACTGGAGAAGGAGATAAAGCTGGCATTAGGGAAACAAAGCAGCACAATTCAAGTGAGCATTAAGATTTGATCCATCTGTCTCTCCAGGAAGACTTCTCTCCCCACCAGTTATCCAATCCAAAATAGCAGTTGGAGGGAACAGAAGGCACTGGTTTCAGCTTTCAAACAGGGTTGCTGGATTTCCAACAGACAGTCCGAGCTCCTAGGACAGCAAGAAGCAGGATAACCAACCCAGCAACTGCAGCCAGGCCCAAAATCATCCACAGGTGACCTGCAGCTGGGAAGAAGTAAGGAGGTGGTTATGGCCAGAGCCAGGACTTGCCCCCCAAGCCATCCCCATTCCCTGGTTCTGCCATACCTTGGGAAGGTGTCCTCTGAACTAGGTGATCCTGCCAGCTGTGGATGAAGAGAGGTCCAACCACAACATCTGCTTCTGTCTCCAAGGGATCTGGAAGAGAGGACCTGTGAGCACCTCAACTCATTGAAACATCAACCTCTTCCAAATCTTGGATAAACACAGTGGAGCCAACAGGTAGTGAGGCAGCTCCAACCACCCAGCTCTGACCATGATGGTGATATAGAAAAAGTGACATACCAGGCTGGGAGGACAGCTCTCTCGGGACACGTCCTCCTGGCCACCGGGAGGGAGCGTGGAGCCTCCTGGAATCCCTGGCCAAGCCACAACTCCTCATCTGGCAGCAGGAGCAGACATCTTGAGTGCCTTCCACAGGAATCCAGCTGGAACAGAGCCTGGTGACCAGCCCACTCTATGGTAGGAACCCCTCATGTGCCTTGGGGTCTACTGGGAGAGACCCAAACCCTCCCAGTCCAGGTGTCTAACCCTGGGAGATGACACACCAAGTGGGAAGCCCAAACTCCTCCCCCTTGTCCAAGCTGCTCTTGCAGCTACTCACAGGTTGATGGCTTTGTTGAAGGAACAAGCCTTGTTCAGAGGGTCTGGAGCTTGGTCAGCCAGGGAGACCTTCAGGTGGCAGGTGATGTAGATCTGGAGAGGGCAAGCAGAGTTCAGCTGCCAGTTGCTTTCATGACTTTCCCATGCACCACGATTTTGGTCTCCAATGGGACCCCCAACAGGAGCACCAATTCCCCAGGGCAGCTTAAGCCCCTCTGATTCCTCCAAGTCACTTAAGAATTCAGCTAGCAAAGCCCATCAGAAAGGCTTATCTTGACCAGAACTGGTCTCCAAGGAAGATTCTTGGCTCAGAGGGCCATGATCCAGCAGCAGTAATGTAGGATGACCTCATCCATACATTGCTATAAGGCAGTTGCCTTGGGAATGTAATTCTAGACAAAACCACTTTCAATTTCTTAATGGAATGAGACTCTCCTCCAGCCAAGGGAGTCAATTGAGATAGGAAGGATTTACCAGGTTGCTGGAGTCTCCTGCAAACTTGAATGCATCTACTGCAAACTGAAGTACATCTTGCCTGAGCCTTGGGGATACGAAAGTTGAGGTGGCATCATCCAGCTGCCCATCCACCAGGCACCTGGACACAAAAACAAAGGCCAGCAGGGTCCCACTGTTAGAGACCCCCATAAACCTACAGAAAGATGTCTTTGATGAAAAGCACTGTCAGCTCTTACCCACTGAAGTCAATGAAAGCATACTGGGGAGAAGAGGTCCTGTCTGGGGTTGGGGTGGCCACACAACTGTCCACAAAGAGCCTTAGAGGCACATGGTTATCTGCATCAACACCAGCTTGGAAATGGAGGACCTCTCCCAGTTGAAATACAGTGGAGGCTCTCTCAGCACTCCAGTCATCTGGAAGGAGAGAGGTCACTCTTGGATGGGAAGTTGGCTAGGGCTTCACTGCTTCCACCCATGGAAAACCCAACAGGCACAAGCCCTTGGGAACCATCTAGTGGAAACACAGCCACCAGAGGAGACCCTGACCCCAAACCTACCATTCATGAGGCGCAGGGAGAAGGGCAGCTTCTCCTCAGAGGACATGGTGGAGCGAAAGGGCATCCACGTGGGCTTGACACCATTGCTGCTCACGTTATGCCTCCTGGGGAGAGGAGAAATGCCCAAAGTTAGGTTCTCTGTGGCAGCAGAAGGGCTTGTTTGGCACTGCTCTGCCTTGGCTCACCTGGGGTAGTGGCACTCAATGGGAACCATGGCAGGGCTGCTGCGGATCACCACAGGGTTGCCAGTAAGAATTGGGCTGTAATTTACACTGGTGGTATAGACTAGAGCATCAGGAGTCACCTGAGGACAGACAAGACAGTTAGCCACTCATTAAGAGTCTGTTCTTTTGCCCCCACATGCAGAGCAGCACATTGAAGCCCAGAGACTCAGCACTGAATTTTCTCAGTCCCTCATCCAGCAGCATTTGTGCTGGAGGCAGGTGAGTGGCACTTATCCCACTGCAGGGACACCCCAGGCTGGGAAGCTGCTCCAGCCTGTCCCAGGATGACAGCAGAGCTGGATGCAGAGGTTCTCAAGCTGGTTCTTATCTGAACTCTAGTTTCCATGCTCCAGAACAAACCTGTCCCTGGGATATCAGGGAGTGACTTCTGCTCAGGAGGATTCAATCTGCTGGCTGGAGCATGGAGGGGCACCTGCTCACCCTCGTGGGCCCCCAAGCCTCTCCCAGGAGGGAGACCACTTCGAATTTAAGTCTCCTGTGAAGTAGCCTCATACTACACCCAGAAAGCACCACTCAGATGCCTCCTGAGGTTAAATATCTGTAAGGAACAGTGGCTCCCCAGCACTAGGTCTTCTGGGTTCCACCCTGGAGGTGGCAGCAGCAGCACGAATAGTGCTGGAAAAATTAGCTACCTCTGTATTCAGCTCTGCTCCTACGCTCCTCTCCCTCTGCTCCTCTCCCCCTGCTCACACAAGACAGCACAGCTCTTGCTGCCCTTGACTGAGGTGTTCAGCCTCTAGGAAAAACTTTGGAGCAATTCCCTGAGCCCAACTACACCATAAACCTGCACCAATCTCAGCATGCCAAGGCACCAGGGTACAAGCCAAGAGGCAATCACCCACCTTAGGGGTCCAGGCCTCTCCCCAGCCTTACCCTAAGGGTGCTGCCACACTCGTGCAGCCCAGCCACGAAGGTCACTGTGCTCTCAGAGGAGCTCCAGGTCACAGGCAGGCAGGAGGCTGAGGCCAGGGGCCGG